TTCTTTCTCCCCCTCTCTCCCTCCCTGTTTCTTTCTCCCCCTCCCTCCCTCTGTTTCTTTCTTCTCCCTCTTTTTTTTCTTCTCCCCCTCCCTCTCTCTCTGTTTCTTTCTTCTCCCCTCCCTCCTTCTCTGTTTCTTTCTTCTCTCCCTCCCTCCCTGTTTCTTTCTTCTCCCCCCTCCCTCCCTGTTTCTTTCTTCTCCCCCTCCCTCCCTCTCTTTTTTTTTTCTTCTCCCCCCTTCCTCCCTCTTTCTTCCCCCTCCCTCCCTTACCTGTGTGGTAGTGTGGCCGAACCCAGTATAGTCCGACCGGTACAGGGAGCTGTTGTTTCCTGTACCCGGCCGGACTAACAGGAAGTGAACACTCAGTGTTCACTTCCTGTTAGTCCGGCCGGGTACTGGAGACAGCTGCTCTCTGTACCGGTCGGACCAATAGAGGGCTCGGCCACGCTACAGAGAGGGAGCTGACAGGTGGGAGCGCTGAGCGCTGAGCGCTTCCCTCCTGTCAGCCTCTCCTCAGGCTGCGCCCGGGCGGTGCGGTCCGCCCTCATGGACGCACCGCCCGGGCAAAGCTGCAGCCGCCCGAGGCTCTTTACAGAGCGCTCGGGCGGCTGCAGCATGGGGGGGCCGGCGCTCCTGGCGGCGCCCCCTCCCAAGGGGCGCCCTAGGCGGCTGCCTAGTCCGCCTTACAGGTAGCGCCGGCCCTGCTGATCGGATGAGGAGGTGGTAGAGGAGGAGGAAGCGGTGTAGGAGGAGGAGGCAACAGGAGGCAAAGCTGTGTACCCAAATAAAGATTGTCAAACGTTGTATCCTGGAACTGTGTCCCATCCGATTACTGGGGAAATGGGTCTGACCTATTCTAATCAAAGGGGATAACCATCGGTTGCCCAGGTCCCGCTTCAATTGGTGGCAAGCGGCAGGATCCCATGACCTGCCGCTTGCCAACAGTGCTCTAAAGCGACCTATACTGCAAGACTTGTGTGGAGCCAGAGGAATAACACCTGGTGGGTGTAACAAGGCTGAATTGACTGCTGCACTCATGGAGGATGACCAGGCACGCAATGAGGCAATGAACCCCAGCCAGGGGCCGGAGATGAGGAGGAAGTGCGCAAGGAGGTGGAATGGCGCCTGGCATATTACCAAGAGCCACCCTCAGAGGAGATTGTCAGCAGGACCTTTTTGGAGGTGCAAGCCTATGTCCTTGCCAATAGACAGAGTGCGACCTCCATGAACCCAGATGAAGGAAGAAGGGAGCAGAGGGCGCCGGGAAGCACAACCACCCTGGCCCACAAGCTACCATACAATGCCTTCAAAGAGTTAAAGGAAACAGAAGAAGGCATCAATGACTTTTTACAAGACTTTGAGCGCCAGTGCCTACTCCAAGACGTGGACCCCAGCGACTGGGTCACCATCCTGGCCAGCAAACTAGTAGGGAAGGCAGCGGATATTTACTGGGCTGTACCACAATAGCAGATCAGAGACTATCCCTTTATTACACAAATCCTCCTGGCCCGGTATGCGGTCACCCCCGAGCAATACCGCCGAAAGTTTAGGGAGACCCGGAAAGGGGAGAAGGACTCCCATGGGTAGTGGGCATGCCGCATCACAAGGGCCACCCAGAACTGGCTCAACTCCCATCAAGCCTGGAGGAGATCACCTAGCTCGTCATGCTAGAGCACTTTTTCAATGGGCTCCCCAACGACACGGCTGGTGAGAGACCGCCAGCCCCAGACCCAAGAAGTATTGGTATGAGCTGCTGAAGCTAGCTCACAATATCCCCTTGGCAGGGCATTTGGGCAGGAGCCGGACAGCGTTTCGGCTCACCCACAGCTTCTTCTGGCCAGGCATCTCTCAGGATCTGAGGCAGTACTGCCAGATGTCTGCCAAAGAGTGGGGAAGAGAAGGGACCAGCACAGGGCCCCCCTCCATCCCCTACCTATTAGTGAAGATCCGTTATGTCCGTTACATTATAGTTGCGCAGGCACTTTGGTGACCCTAGAGAACCTCTGGCCCATCGCACGTCCCGTGCCGGTGACAAAACATTCGGATGTCTGCCCTATCAATTTTTGATGGACTTTCTGCGTCTACCATGGTGACTACGGGTAACGAAGAATCAGGGTTCGATTCTGGAGAGGGAGCCTGAAAAACGGCTACCACATCCAAGGAAGGCAGCAGACGCGCAAATTACCCACTCCTGACGCGGGGAGGTAGTGACGACAAATAACAAAACAGGACTCTTTAGAGGCCCTGTAATTATAATGAGTCCACTTGAAATCCTTTAACTAGGATCAATTGGAGGGCAAGTCTGGTGCAGAGCAACTGACCCGTGTGTGCTGCAGCTGAAACTCCACTATCGCCTGCTGTTGCTCGCACAGTTTCTCCAGCATATGCAAGGTGGAGTTCCACCTTGTGGGCACGTTGCATATGAGGCCATGAGCGGGAAGGCCAAAGTTACGCTGCAGCGCAGACAGGTGAGCAGCAGCAGGGTGAGAACACCAAAAGAGCGCACAGCCGCTACAGTGAATGTCACATCCTGTTCCAAGTTGCGGATCAGTCTGGTCATGGCGTCTGGTATCCAGTACTCTTTTTACTGAAGCTGCATCAGGGTCCTGGCATGTGGCCGCACAAACGCTGGTGCTCAACACCAGGGGGCATGCGGTTACCCTGCACCAGACCCTGCTAATCCATTCCACACTGTGACTCCTAACTTCAACATCAGGAGTCCCAGTGTCTGGGTCCCGGTCACCGGACTGCTGCCCTCAATGTGAAAATTCGAATGGCTTGTTAAATCTGGTACGAACCCAAACTTTCAAGTTTGGGTTCGCTCAACTCCATTATGGATCCTTTGATTGCTCCATCTGTTACTTGGATAACTGTGTAATTCTCGAGCTAAAAAATGCAGACGAGCGCTAGGGGACGGCCGCTCCGCTTTTTCCCTTTGCTCACTCTTATGCTGTGCTGGTGCCTCTGTCTGACCAGCGCCTCTTCCTCCAAACTGCACACGTTACTCGCATGACCTTGATTCCATGTGGGATCTAGGACCTCATCATCCTCCACATCATCTTCCACCCACTCCTCAACCCTGCCCTCCTTGCCGGCCTGCACACTGCAGAAAACCACAGCAGTTTGCACCTGTGTTTTTCCAGCATGTAAACTCTGCAAAGGACATCTGGGAATTGTTTTAGAATTGTATCCAGGCAACAGTTTTCCCTATAAACTGACCTCTCAGTTTGACTTGTGAGGGTATTGCCCCCGAATTACAATATTGTTATATTGGTATTTGACGGTTCTATTTGACTGTAAGATATGAAGTGCAGGCCGCAAATGTACTATTTAGCATTAGCACCCAAAACAATTAGAATTTTCAAAAGTGCGCTGTAAGCATAGTATTTGACGGTTCTATTTGACTGTTCTATTTGACTCTCAGATATGAAGTGCACTGCACGATGCAAATGTACTATTTAGCACCCAAAACAATTTGAATTTTTCAAAGTGCGCTGTAAGCACACTGTTTGACGGTTCTATTTGACTCTCAGATATGAAGTGCACCGCAGGCCGCAAATGTACTATTTAGCACCCAAAACTATTAGAATTTTTAAAAGTGTGTTGTAAGCACAGTGTTTGACGATTCTATTTGACTGTTCTATTTGACTCTCAGATATGAAGTGCACCGCAGGACGCAAATGTACTATTTAGCACCCAAAACTATTAGAATTTTTCAAAGTGCGCTGTAAGTACAACATATGACGGTTCTATTTGACTCTCAGATATGAAGTGCACCGCAGGACGCAAATGTACTAATTAGCACAAAAAAGTGTGATTTTTTAAACCAACAATGTAACAGTAGTATTTAAGGGTTTTATTAGACTGCAAGAAATGCAGTACGCAAATGTACTATTTAGCACCCCAAAAAAAAATTGCCCACTTAGCTACCAGAACAGGATTAAAGTCATGTGCCCAGCACACAAGCAGTTGCAAGTGCACTGCACTCTCTGTGGCACTGGGCTCAGGGCAGGATACAAAAAAACCCCACTAAAATAATTGCTGTAGTTTGAATAATCGCTGTAGTTTGAATAATCGCTGTAGTTTGCAGATTCAACACCAGACTTCTTTCCTAAGCTGTCCCTCACAGCTGCAGCATCCTGTCCCTACACTAATAAGAGCTCATGTGACGTGCGGCACTATGTGACTCCAGCTTATATGTAGAGGCTGGGTCACATGCTGCACTGGCCAATCACAGCCATGCCATTAGTGGGCATGGCTGTGATGGCTTCTAAGGGCAAACGAGTCAAATGCTTGTTGATTGGCTGTCCTGCAGCCTTTCAAAACGCGCCATTAAATCGCCAAACACCGAACTCCAACCCGAACATACACTGAAATGTATGTGTTCTGGTCAGGGGTCCCAAAACCGTAATGTTCGGTACGAACCCGAACTTGGCGGTTCAGATTCACTCAACTCTACTACTGCATCATTGTTTTAAGATTTGTTTGACCATTACTAATGGACAGTCACACCAATTACTTTTATTCCCATCAGTAAACATTGCAGATAGACCATGCAAGGCTCCGTCAACCAGTCATCATAAAGACATACATGTTTATGATTTGTCTCCATGATGTTGCCTGTTAGTTATAGCAGGGAGACACCAGTGTCAATCAACAAAATCTATAGCAGTATCCACACAGAAAGCAGCATCAAAGCAAGCAAACGCTCAGGAAAGCTAGGTTTTAGAAAAAGTAAAAAATACTTGTAACATAGACATGCACTGAAATATGTTCTGCTGTCTATTGCCGTTCTGACATCTGCAAAATGGCTTAAATTGTAGAAGAGTTGTTTGGAACAGACAGTGATACACCAAAGTGATGGAGTTATTATTATTATTAATTTTATTATTATTATTGCCATTTAATGAGCTCCAACAGATTCCGTAGCGAGTTTGCAGCATTTATTTCTCTGGAGTTAAAACTTAAAAATGTAGGTTAAGAACCATCAATATTTGGATTTTCAGAAAAGAAAATGGTGGACTTAAACACAATATGGGCACGTAGTGTGACTAAATCCCCATATTTTGGGATAGGTGTGTGGGTTGAGCTATATTGTTGTATTTGTGGAGACAGAGTTATATCTGGTGGCACATATATGGAGTTTA